CGTACACTGTAAAAATGTGTCATTTTCTCGGTACGTACAAGGATTTACATCCAAATAAAAAAATCGTAAAGAATAATCCAGGGAAATTACATTATAGAAACTGTAAAACGATTAGATGACAAAATTCACTACAAAATTGAATGCCAAGACGTAAAAGGCCCTCTAACCGAATGAAGAGCATTATGAGGGTAATATGCGCGTGCATCTCTACACACGGCGCAGCAATGTTGGAGAATTTGAGCCGGAGAGCTCTTCGGACCATTCAATGTTCCTTTTTTTAACACTGTAAACTGTAAAAACGTCTTTTTTTCCTTGTAAATTGTAAAACGCCCTTTTTATTTCCCGTAAAACCGTACTAGCTACCCCCCTTGCCTCCCCTCTAATGCAGGAACAAAAAAAAATTGAGTCGGCGTGGGTTCCCACGCCTGCTTCCGTTTTCGCAGTGTGGTGTTAAAATGACAGCATGATGCAAACATGACAGTTGTCTCAACTATTGTTGGTGTATATTTGATGCAATTATGGGAACGTGTAAATAACACAAAGTGTAGAATGCAACCGATAAGGAGTTTGCCTTCAACTCTGTCTTCTGAATAATATAGACATGATTCTGTAGGCAGGCAAAATCGTTGTATTGCCCCCATAGACGCAAAGCATTATTAAAAAATGAATAATTGTATTTAGCTTTGTCAAACTTTGTTACTAATTGCAAATTTTTCACAAGATCATAATGTGTTTCGCAAACTACTTGTCAAATCTCACCTGGATCTGGAGTAGCGTTTCGTGCTTGCACTGTTCTATAAGCGAGAAATCCAACCCCGGCAAAAGCAGCCAACATCACAAGAGAAGTTATTCCGATAAGCCAGTGTCTTCCCTTCGTGGACGTATTTTGCTCTCCTGCCATCTTGTCTACAGATGCCAGCTGAGTGTGCGTGATTAGGCGTGTTCAGTGTGTTTTATACATTCACTGCTGTCAATGGAATTTATATTTGCATAAGATAACACACAGCTATGCTAGTACATAATACTAAACACTGGTTGTTTTTATTTGTCAAATGGATGGTACGTTTATATGACAAAAGCACGGCATTTTATCACAGGTTAATTATACTGGTTGATTTGTGGTTGGGAAATTCCCTTATGGATCATTCAAAGGCGTCGTGATATGGCACTGCAGGTAACGAGTCTGGACAGTTGGACGCTTTGTCCATATGCATAGATGTAAATACTAACTGGGTACTCTGACGACAATAAATATTATTTCCGGGATCATATGAGGTCACATATACGAAAGAACACCAAACGCTACTGAAATCTTTGTGAATAGCACTGGTGAATGGTTGTTTACAAGTGTCAACTGAACTAACACGAAAAACTCAGCATGGCATTTCCCAATATGCTTTGCGTCACTGCCACTCTATAT